ACTGGGAGCTCCATGGTCTCAAAAAAATCATGTGTAGCATTATCACGCGCAACTTGAATGTAAATATTATGCAATAATAATGGTAAAGTTTAATCTCTGACAAATAAAAAGACGCAACAAATTGACCTGGTGGTGTATTTGACCTCGAAAGCTACTGCATAGCAAACATGAACAAAATGATTTATAAACAGACTATAACTACAAACTAAACAAATTCTACTCAAATTAATTCTACAGTTTTGCTTTCTCAGGCGATCCTGTGCATAAAACTGAAATTTAAACAGGTCGGCATTTTACCGGTAAACCGGAAAATCAATGCATAAATTAACTTGTCAGAAGTGTGAATTGCCTCCTGCCAGTACGGTAACGGCCTTGCCGGTACGGCTAATGACCTTCGGGTACGGTAAAGCAGCGGCCGGTACGGTAAAGCAGCGGCCGGTACGGTAAAGCAACGGCCGGTACGGTAAAGCAACGGCCGGTACGGTAAAGAAACGCATGCCGCAGGAGACTCACAGGAAACCGGCTTGGTGGTAATGATCAGTTCCCTAACTGAATATCCACAACCTGCCCCATCTAAACATTTCAGCATTTACCTGTAGGTCAGCGTTCTGTTTTTCTAGCCTCTCTGATTTCTCCATATGTTCCCTTGCAATACGATGGTATTTTTCCATTTCAGCTGAGTAAACAGACTCCCTCTCTGTTTCAAAATAATGAATGAAATAAATGAATCAAAGAAAGCTTTATAGAAAGAACTCCTGTGTGCTGAGAGTATTGAAGACACATTAAAAATTAATTCAAAATTACTTGTACATGAGATATTGATGGAAAAGCTGAAAACTAATTATGTAAATCAGGTAACTAATATGAACAGAACAGAACAAACAAATTATGAATTATTATGCTAATTAGAGAATTAATATTAATCAAAATTAATCAGGCCTGTCTATTGTCCTAGAGCATTTATGTACCAAATTTTATTCAAATGTGATGATCAGTAATTGAGATATCAGTGTTAATTATGTTAATTAGGTGATTAATAAGCATAAATATTTACCAAAAACTAATTGGGTTTCTGCACATTTCTCTTTAAAAGTTTCATTAAAATCCAATTTGTGGTTCTTTATATATCAGTGGAACATTATGCAAATTAGGTAATTAATATCCAATTAAAACTAATCTGGTGTCTGCATAATCCTGGAAGATCTATGTAGCAAGTCTCATTGAAATATGATGATTACTACTTGATATATCAAAAGCTGAAAATTAATTAATTATGCAAATTAGTAATTAATATGTACTCATGTTACCCTAAAAACTGTCA